AAAAATAGTTTCCCATGATACTATGGAGATTATTTACCAGTAGTCATCACATTCTAAGGTACTTGACAGATGTTACTTTCCCGTATCATTTCTTTGAGACCGCCTTGAAATTGTTTCAGGCCGTGTCGCATATTAAAGGATATTCGGTTTCCAAAGTCACATTTCCTCGTGTTTTTTTCCTTGAAGTATAGCCAAAAGTTGCTAATTTTTCGATGAATTTGAAACAACTTAACCACAAGCGCAAAGTTTTCTGTTGTTTTCCTTGAAATAAAAAATTCCGTGCATCATAAGAAATAACCTGCGCAAAGCCAAAAATTAGGGAACGTTTCACTCTTAGTTACATCATAGCACAAGCAGCGAAAAGTAGCAACTTGTTTCTAACTCTAGAAAAAAAACAGTGAAGATCCAAGTTCATCGGACACCGATTACTACCCTTATTATCTGATACAACTTCAAAACGAAGACTTCGTCTTGAAGTGATGATACGGAAAAGTATAACTCTCCAATTATTATACCTAGACACCCTCTTAAGTACTGCAAATTTTAGAGCAAAGAAAGTCACTTATGGGCACCTGCCATTTCACAGAACTTATGAAATTCTGGAAAAAATATCATCATAATTAGAAAATAAAATGTCTTATTCGAACTGCATGCTTTCCCAGAACGAGCGACTCAACTTTTTGACGTAATTGAACTGATGCATAAATAGTACACAGTTGAGTCAGATTTGATGGAAAAGCGATATTGCAAACCTCCCTGCGAGTATGCGAGGGAAGGCAAAGTTTTTAAATTAGTACATCCACCACTTTTGACAGCGGAGTAAGCCAGTCTCCCTTAATTGAATGTTCTCGGGCCACTATTTCTAACTTTTCATCAAATACCTATTAAGTAAGTTTATAATCCTACAAATCAGTAATACGTATCGGTAGGGAGGGCTGAAGAGGAATATAAGCTTGATTTAACCGAGGCAATTTGATTACGAAATTAGATCTGCATTCAATATCGCAAAACTCCCGTTTGATAGCCTGAAGTGATTTGATCCCACGTCTTCCCGCGTGTATATCTTCACAGCAAAATAACCTGTAAGGAAGTAAGGAAAAACTGGTGCAGAGACTTTTTTACCTTTAACAAATGTATGCCCAGAAACTCGCCGAAAGCTTAAGTTTTAAAATAGTGTATGTTCTTCGGAAAATGTACTAAAAACCTCAACGTAAGACTCGGGTTTTTATTGATTTACATCATCATTATACAAATCTTATACGTCATTATATCTCCTAACTATAGATTCAAAAGACTTCGCGTTGAACTTTACATCGATACAAAAAAGTTTGGTCACATGAGTCGTAGTGCTGGGTTCCATTTTGACCGCACCGCTGCACCATTTGGTTTATTTAATCGCACTTTGGCACTTTATACAGTGCAACCTCATCCTTGGCGTATGCTACCGAGCTCTCTTCGTTTCACGTTAGCATCAAACTCTTCCTCCAGTTTGATCTTCCTCAAAAGTACGGTTACATGACATCCAGTATAGTGAGGCGTGAATAATCGATTATCGAAATCTCCCCATTTGAAGCTATAGTAAAGAATCGATTATCAAGGTGTTTGATGCGGACAACTTTTTTATCGATCATATTTTATGGGTTTAAATGGCAAATCAATCGATCCACCGATTACTTACAATCGTAAAGCACATGCACGGTCGCAAGAACCGAATAATATGGATGCTACATGGCATAATAACATAATGGAACAATGCTCTGTGGTTCATGTATGCCTGAACCTCTTTTCTCCGTTCACCGTACTGCCGTGCTTAGGAAAAACGCCGCATGAGCCTCCAGGCGTTGCCAATTTTCCTCTAGCAAATCACTAATTTTCAGGACAATTTTTGAATATTTTTCTGCCAATCTCTCAGATAATTTTGTTCGTAATTCGATCTGAAGGTTCTGAAAATTTCAAGAAAAAATATTCACAATTTTCCTCAAAAATAAACATTTTATGAAAGGAAATTTGGCAACTCTCAAAGGCTCATACGGCGTTCTTCCTTAGCACGGCAGTATAGTGACGAGAAAATCCGGACGTTGATTTTTTTTCCCTCTCGATTTCACACTCATATAACGGCTATAGACCCACTGGCAGTTCCCAGCTCGCCAAAGCGGGTTTTTACGGCTATATAGGGATTAACACTCCACGATAACTACAAGACCCTTCATAACGAGCTACTCTTTAAACGATACTAAGAAAATCGAGGAAAATCACGGAGGTTCGATGAGGGTTCACAGGGCGAAGAGGTGAGGGCGCAAAAAAAGGGGACCTATAAGACTCGGCGGGAATAGGAGTTGGTGCTTAGTTGATTTGCGCTTAGCAGATTATAATCTTAATCCGTTAATCTGCCCGGCCGAACCTAAGCGACGATTAGAAAACTTTATCATCCCAATCCCAAAGTTGCCTCCCCCCGAGCTCATCCGACGGCGGAACGGAGGTAAGTAGCGGTGGCGGTGTCTGGGTTATCAATGAAAGGTTTCCAAAGTAAGTTTCGAAACTCACCTCAACCTCTGCGATGTGGTTGTTGTTATTAACACCTCCCCGCGTCCGCACTCCCCGCGCGGCGCAGTTACGTGCCCTCCTAATGGGCCTCATTAAAATAACGGCTGTTTTCAACCAGAGTGTACAATTACACGGGCTATGAGGAGAAAATTAGCAGCAGCCAGGAATGTTTTATCTTCAAAGTTTCAGCCTCGAGACTGACGCCAAGGCGTGACGAGTGTATTTAAGAAAGTTTCCAACATGAGCAATAATAAAAAATTACGAGTCTCAAGATGAGTTTTCCTGGCTTTTTTTTATTATTTTTTTTTGCATATATTTTTTGCGATAAAGCCCCTTCGTTATCCTTCAGTGCGATCTTGCTTCGTTCTTCACCCGGAGAGATTCAGATATGGTATGCAAATCGCCTCATACCAGCTTTTATGGGAGGATACAATGGTTAATCATTAGAAAGAAGAGATTTCTTCCTCAAATCCATTGCAAAAGAGTAGGCTATCGGCTCAATATTATTATGAAATCTCAAGGTTGATAGAGCCTACGAAATCAAGATTTCACTGAATGGTCGATGACTGAATTTAATGATTTTCGTGGAAATGAAAGATCGGAGCAGCAGCTACGCTTTTATTTCCAGTAGTTTAATTTGCTTTATTTTTCGTAATATCTACCGTATATTCTTCATGGGTGTTGTAGTTTTTTTTTTATTTTTTTTAATTCTTTGCGCGTTGGAAATAAAAATGTTCGCAAGAATCCGCATTACCTATACATCCCTGCAAGTTATTCTTATTGCTTATTCAGCTCTGTGGGCCCCCGAGTTGTATTTTAATTGTTTAGCGTGCAATGATATCATCCATTAAGTTTCTGTGTGTGATATCAATGAGCAAATAACCATTTGCCACAACAAATGACGGTATACACCTTACTGTATATAACCGCGGTTTCCCCCATGTCATATGGTCTCATCGTATGGGTCAGTGATGGATGAAATTCAGTTGCATCACGTGCACTGCGGATGCCAGACCACTACACAGCCAACTGTGACCAGCAGCAATGTGGTGCATTTTTTTGTGACTTTTGCAATATTATCTCAGTTATTTTATTAACCTTAAGACATTGGTTTAAACAATCACTAATTGCGTTCATATCGGCCCTGTTGACACATACATTTTGAAATGTATCATGTCAAAGGATCCTCAACAAATTCATATTTGCAGAATCGTTCAGTCCTATTTACCAAAAATTATTTTTTTATTTAACTTTTTTATTTGTATTGACTTTTTTTCACTTTGACTTCAAATGATGTGACAATTCGGATGCATAGATGTGTTATGTATGGCTTTACTCATGAGAACTTTCACTCTCATTGGCGGACCCAGTAAGTTGGCAACATTGTTCCTCTCCATTTAATCCTATGGAAATGTATCGATTCTTGGACGGGCCAGGTTTTTCGACAAGAATCGATCATTTAACATAGGTTTAAATGGTGGAAATCCGGTGTCGCTAAATCGCTGGATCCGCCTCTGTACTTTCATGCCTCATTCCTTTCATTCCTCTTGCCTGACGGCAAGATTACAAATATGCACATCCTCAAGCACGGTTGGACGTATTTACACTAAAAGGAACTATGTTGCGCACAAGCTCTACATGTACATATCTCCTTTTGGCTTAAAGACGCCCAATTGCGAAAAAAGACGGGGAAGACTGAGTTGGATTGACCGCAAGATAATGAGACGAGCAGAGTGTGCTCCAGAATCCAAAGCGTACGAAGTACAATGATGGTGGAAAGCACAATCATCATTAGAAATAGTCGAAAATTCGTCCTCTTTGAAGGGGAAAAGGATGGCCATGCTTGAGTACTGGGGGAGGGGAGGGGAGGGGAGGAAAATTGTAAGGGCCTCACGTGGAGACTTCTGCAGAGCTTTTTATGCTAATAAATAAGCTTTGGCCGAGCGCAGGGGACGAGGGCCAGTGACCCAATGTTGCCAAGTCCCTCAGCCGCCCCATTCTTATTTAAACCACCATTTGACTTACTTATCACAATACCTATCAACCTAAGTTGATACAAATTAATCGTGGAGTTATTTTGTAGTTTGAAGTTTTGTTATAGAGGCGAAGAGGCAGAATAAATAGCGAGATTAAAATCATAAGGAATTATACATAAAAACTACACTAAAGAGATTTAATAATAATAACAAAAAAAAAAAAAAAAAAAAAAAAAAAAAAAAAAAAACTAAAGGAAACAAAAATGGTTGATCATTCTCAGAAATATTAGAGGAAATCATCATCTACCTGTGTTTTAACAATTTTTAATTATTTAATTTAAGCGTTACGGTATATTTGATTAATTATTGTGGTACATGACGGACATGGGAGGACGAGCAATTTCGTGTGCGCACAGTATCAGATCTGACGTTTCCTCTAGTAAGCCTGAAAAGTAATTAACTTCATTGCGTATGTTTCAGAGTCACTGTATCCAAGTCTCACACTTCGGGTAGGGAAAGTGTTCAACTAGAAGCTTTTGCGGGGGCCTCAAATGGAGATAAATAAGGTATGTACAAATCACCAAAATCTCGAATCATTGTTGGAAGATTAAACATTTCTCCCTCGGCACCAACACTATATTTTCACAAAGATAACTAATGGCTGCTAGGTACGAAATTCTATACAGTAAAACTGGGGGCTCAAAGCTCAATAACCAACGAACTTGTCAGTAGTAGTCAATGAATTGAACTAATTTTGAAGGAAAACTCAATTCCAAAAATGTAGGTACCACTGCGCTCTTTGGTGAAACAGCAACAGTGTCCATATCATTACTTGTGTGTGTGCTTAAAGTTCAAACTCTCTGACTCCCTAAATTTTCAATTTTTTTGTCAAAGTTCGCTCTACCATTCATCCTCATGATTTTTACGACTATCTAGAGGTAATAGTCCCTTAATGATCCAGATTTATTCAGATTTTTGAAATATGACCCAGTTTTAGTGAATTACGTCAAAAAGTTTTGAATTTGTCCATTTAAACAATATTAAATGTTTTTTTGGTCACAATTGGACGTATTTCTATCAAACGGAACTATGCGCATTGAGGCATGAGCCCTGAGACTCATAAGAATACATTCATAACAGGGCTCACGTCATAATGCACGTAGTTCCGTTTGACAGAAATACGTCCAATTCATTCTGAGGACCCTCCTGTTTTTGATGATATTTGCGATGATTGATATGAGATAATCCCTAGATGGGCCCGCTCTATGTGGGAGCACCTGACGGGGATTTGGCCGCGTAGCGGCCAGGGGGCGTAACTCCTAGTTCAGTTTACGAGGGTACCCGAGTTGGTGCTATTTTTGAAGGGGGTAATCTCGGCAGCAAGACAGCGTGGCGTCGCGGCCGGCGCGGCGCGGGGCTTGAAGTTGAAGCTCGAAGGCGTGGCAGGAGACGTCTGCGCGGTGGCGGACAAACGCGAACGCGGACACAGGCAAATGCAGCGGCGGCCGATTATTCACCAAGCGACACTAGCGGTCAGCTGTGGTTAATTGGACAATCAAAATCACAGAAGAAGCATTATTCACACTATCCCATTCAAATCGGAGTTAAATATCCCTCTTACCCCCGCCCCTGCCCCGCGTCGCCCCCTCCCTCGAGACCCACGCCCCCTCCACCCCGTTGTCCGTCCCTCGGACAGGCGCTAATGACACGACTGGGCTGGACAGGTGATATATGATTACGATTATGGTCCGCGCTCACATTTTAATTGAGTCCCGCTGAAACTTCAATTTTTCCCCTGATAAGAATGAATAATCGCCCAAGGCAGTTGTCACAACCCCGATGTGCGATGTGTGGATATGAATTGGTCGGATTTGCTAGGACCAGGCCAACTTCATTTCACGCTCCCTTATTTCCTCTCATACTTTATTATTTTCACAGAAAACCATATTATTTTAACACAAAACCAAATAACATGACGCTTTAAACTACTTGTGAATTTTCCGTTGCTTATCAAGAACATTCTCACAGAATTGCATATTTTAATGTTTCTTGGTTTGCTTCTGAAAAAATAAAACACAAGGTTTTCTTGTTTCTTCCAAGCTATTATTGATTTGGACACGTCCTAGCACATTTTGAGCAAACTTAACCTTAACTTTGGATCTCAAAAATAAGAGACACTTCAACGGCGCAGAGATACAACTACTCGTACTCGATGGATGTCCGTGCTGCGTCTGCAAAGTTGAAGGCGCGATGGCGCGAGTCATAAACTCGTAATGCTCCACTTAAGGTGATTCGATGGAGGCCATTTTTTGTGTCAGAGCGACGTGCGATATATCGCATCGATTTGTTCCATAGTTTCAGCTGCTTGTCATTGTTTTTGAATTTTGAGATCGCACTTCTATTGTCATGATACTGAAGAACTCATGTACCAAAGTTGACAAAGAAATTCAACGTAATAAGGGCGTAGTTTTTTTAGAGGAAAAATATCGCATTCGATACTGATATCGAAACTGCACTCGAATGCGAAATTTTTCCTCTAAAAAAACCACGCCTTTATTACGTTGAATTTCTTTGTCAACTTTGGTACATGAGTTCTTCAGTCTCATGACAATAGAAGTGCGATCTCAAAATTTGAAGCAAATGACAAGTAGCTGAAATTATGGAGCTAATTGATGCGATATATCGCACGTCGCTTTGACACAAAAAAATGGCCTCCATCGAATCACCTTAAGGCTGCTAATGAGTTGTCTTTTTGTCAGTTCCGGGAGAGAAGTTAAGAAACGTGGCCTGAACACATATTTCCTATCTTCGGCTGTGATGACACTCGATTTTTGTCTTTTTTCAGTTTAATGTCGTATTTGTAGACCTCTAGACAGCTCGTATGTACCGACACCACAATTCCTTTAGAAGAGTTGGTTCAGTCAATTTGACCTAGCTGGAATTTTTAAGGTCAGTTGTCTGACAAATTTCTCTGACACTCAATTTTTTTCTTTTTTATAAATTTGATGCCCGAATTTTTTTTTTAATTTGTATTTGTAGACCTGTATCAATATATCTGAAGCTCACAAGTACCACTCCCATATAACCGACGGTCCACGAGGTTTTAGAGAGACTCGGGTCAATGCGACCCGGCTTGGGCATTTAAGGCTTACAGATCTGTAACTTAAGGGGAATAAAAGGAAGGAAGTAATATAAATAAACATCAAGATATCGAACAAATTTTTCTAAATTAGCCATGGCACAAAGGATCCTCTTCTTTCAGATGCACTAAAACATTTACTAGAAGTTAGAGATATACGCTTGCGAAACAAGAGATTTCAACGGCGCAGAGATACAACTATTCGTACTCGATGGATGTCCGTGTTGCGTCTTCAAAATTGAAGGCGCGATGGCGCGAGTCATGAACTCGTAATGCTCCGCTTGCATTTTGCAAAACATTGCAATAGGTTCTGTTGCTGTTTTTACGATACATTAAATGCTGGCTCTAAAATGCTATCGAAGTGGTGAGGCTAGTTTTATCTATGGAGAGGAAAACGGGCCGGGAAAATGGGTCTTTCACGCCGGAATTGCACAAAACCTCGTTAAGACGGACCTTCGTTGGTTTGAGTGTAGTACCAAATCTTCGAGGTTCATTTTTACTCGTATTTTATGCTATTGTGGGAGGAGACTTGATTTACATTCTTAATGAGTAAGACTGGAAGACTCGAGGAAGAATACTTCTCTCCGAGTCAAGTGGTGAATGGCGCGAGTTCGTAGCTCAACCGTTGATCACCGAACGGCGAGGACCGAAACTCTGTTGATTGATGAAAGGAGTGCCAGGGTGGAATTTCACCAGCGAGGTCAAGATTTTGAAGCGACTTTCCCGAGTCTTCTAACTTCTCACCCGCCACAAACACAGCAACTGCCTCTCCTGAAAGTCGGATCCCTCAGGGTGGGAGTCGCGTAAAACTTCCTCACGCTCACACTTTCTCACATTGTTGCCAGATAGTGATAATCATCACTTTTCGTCCCATCCAAAATATCCACATTTTATGGCATCATCTGGCAACATTGCTCTCTAAATTCATCAATTTTTGTGCTTGTTCTCATTTCAAGGCACTATTCTCCACTATCTGATCTCCATACCATCCTTTCAAAGTATTTTCGTGAAATCCCTCTTTTTCAAACGAATTAATCTCCAAATTTAATGTATTCTTTCCTTGTCCTAACATTTAACTTTTAACTTTGTACTACCTTTTGTGACCCCTACTTTTTAAATTTTTAAATTATTTTGATCTCTCGTCTAAGGTGTTAATGGCTCAATTGTTAAAAGCACCAAATAAACGTATCTACCTAACCAACCACGGACAAGGTCTTTCTATCTTATCAGATGTTTTGTGTCGAAACGTATTAAGCAGATCTTCTTTTCATTTGTACTAGAGTATGTCCACTCTCATCCAAATACTTCATTGAGCAAAGAAAGCTCCTTTTTTATCGGCAATTTCAGTTTTTTAACTTAATTCATAAGTGGGTTGCACCGACAGAGCCTAAGTAACAGTCCTTGTCTATTGATAAGTTCTTGTAATACTGAAAGCAGAGCTCTTTTCACAATTTCATCGTCAAAACACTGGTGGACTTTAATCTAGTACCATATTCTGTGTCGATTTTTACCTCACAGCTTTTCAACCATGCCTCTGGCTTACATAGATCCTATGTTTTAAAACGATTGGTAGGTATAATTACTGCCCTTATTTTCATTTGCTTTCAGAAAAAAGTTTTATTCGGCTATCCTTGCTTAAGGGGTTTGTGAAAAATTTATTTTTCATGTATTTTTTTAAGAATAAACCTTCAATTTTTTTATTTAAAATTGAAAAACATTTAAATTACTTCAAAATGAATTCCCTCTGTTTTGTAGATTCTAATTGATTGAAACAACTGTTTGCAAAATATTGGTCTGATCAGATTTTTGGAATATGTTATGATTATCATGATTATATATCTTGATAAACTCAACAGTTTTTTTTCTCTCATTAGTTTTTAGTGTTTTCCATAATTCAGATTGTGATAAGTGAGAGAACTCTGCTATACAGAACCAGTGTAATTTATTTGAAAATTTTTTCTTTGTCAAACGCCATAATTCTTACCGCCTATACTTACAAGTATTATGTATTGCGAAAATTAAATAAAGAGAATATTTCTCCTAAACGTATACAAGACTGTAAATATGTAGGCACATATCCAAAGCAAAGACGTGAGTGGAACTCCAAAATTTAGTATTCAAGGGTGGTGTAGGGTGTTTCAAAAGCCCAGAAGTTATGCTGTGAGATGAAAGAGGAGGAAAAGGAAGAAACGCATATGAAAAATTTCTTGATCTGAAATTGTTACGGAGGGTCCTCTAGTTTCATCGTGAAAGCTTCANGGGGGGGGGGGGGGGGACTTTAGTCGATATGCTTAAGTGAGCCAAACACGAACAGAGATCAAAGGATAGGAAGAATTCGAAGTCGAAGATTAGGTGACTTGATAAAAACTTGGAAACAATCGAGAAGACAAGTGAGCAGCTCAACTTTTTTTTGTTCCCCTTTCGGAT